CCCCCCCCCCCCCCCCCCCCCCCTTCCTCCCTCTCTGAATCACCACTCCCGTTTGAAATTACTCAATATTGACGTAATTTAGAGACGGGTACATAGAACTGCTGAGGTTTTGATTTCGGGGTCGGCTGGATTGTTTTCCGAATGTGCATCTAAGATAGCCCGGTCTAAATAGCCCCTGCCGCCCGCCGTTGCGTCTCGTCCGTTTCGAAGTGCACGACTTGGATGACGAGATGGAAAGCGACATTCTAGTACTGGAGGGGATCGAGAGCTTGGGAAACGCGACGGATAGTATCGAGGAGAATCAGGTCAGTTGGGGCAAAGTTGAGGCCTTGATCCCCGTCGAAGATGTTTGCACTCGGGAGTTATCCCTAATAAATACCTCCACTTAGAGCAATGTTGCGCATACATGGTCCCAAATAGTGTGGCAGAAGGGATGAGCAGTGTTTATCGTCGTACGCTCATCTTTCACGGAGAGTGGTCTCTCGCACGTGGCGTTTCTTCGGGTAGTGCGTAGCCCTCGTCGTCCCTCTGGGGTAGCCTGCATAGATTGATGCGTTCTCTGTGCAGTGGTTTTCCTGGACGGTAGGATGACTTCGTTCTCGTCCCCTTGCCACTTTTCTGGGCGTGCACCAACTGCAGGAGGCACACGCGCCCATGGTTCGGGGGATGGTCGACCAGCAGACGTCTCAGAACTAAGGGACGCTGCTGATGTTGGCGAGAAGATGGACGCCGCCGCCGAAGGTCTTTTCCGCGAGCACTTTCCTTGGCTTCTTGACCTCTGGGTACAGGTCAAGTCCCTTGCCCCCACCCGTTGTTTATAGCGACATCGTGGGCTTCGCTGGTGGATGTCCAAGCTAGAGTCAGCAAAGGAAAGGGGTCAACGAACGAAGCGTCGAACTTCACCTTGGCCCGGTTCGCCAGTTGGGCGCCACAACTGAAGGCGTGGATAAATCATAAGGATATCCAGAAGGTGGCACGGACGAGTGGTAGAAACACCAAACGAACCAGGCATGAGCTGTGCGGCATCATCAACCAAGTGGATGAGGTGCGTCTCGGCTATAACTAATTGAAAATCTCCCATGAGAGCCATAGTAGGTGTACACAAGTCATAACAATGATTTGAGGCGTAATTATCTAGCGCCCGAATTCCTCCGCCCAAGAAGCTAGACCGAGTGCCCTGAGTGTGTGCAGCCAACGGCACCGGGGTGCTCCCCCAGACCCGTGTCTCTTGTTGGGGGAACAAGCCACCCACTATTGTCGTCCGTACGTTTTTTGTAGGCTTCGGCTGGCGTCACATTCAGTCGTTTGTATCTTGTTTGGTGTTCAACTGCAGTACACCCCCTTCACCAACTGTCAACCCGTACACCCTCTTCGCCGCGTGCCCCGGCTGTTGCTTCTGTCCCTTATTGATCACCAGGAGCTCTACGGCGTTTTTGTGCGGAAGAAGAAGGAGGCGAACTTGATCAAGTTGTCGTATCCCGACAATAAGACCCGCGTCACCAAACCACGGGCGAAAGTGCTATATTACATCAGCGGGTGGTTGCTCAGCAAGGACTGGGCGCACGTGAGACGGCAAAAGATCGAGGAGAGGGAGTGGGTGTCCTTTGTAGATCTCAACAAGTCTGCTTCCGAGGGAGCTGCGGTAGAGAAGGATAAGGAACTGGAGCATTTAGTAGGTGAAGTGAAGAGGAGGAACGACGAAATCAACGGTGCTGGACTCCTGTTTGCCACGAAAGCGTTTTTTGAGTTCACATATGCTTCGGAGATCGGGTACTTCCATATCCTTTCTAAGCCCTTTCTGTTAGGAGCATATCTCGTAGGCCTTCCGGGTGACATGTTGCGGGTGGTCAGCGAAGCGACCGAGATCAGGGATGCGTGGGCTGAGTGCTGCCCACCCTCCTCGGGAAGCGTGAATTTTGAGTGGGATTCCAAGGTCGCTCATGAGGTTTTCCTTCGCATAAGGACATAACTGGGGGAAGGGCGTGATTTGGAGGGAGGGGTGAGGCGGGGGTAATTCGCGCTTTCTATTTCCGTTCCCGTTCATTCTTATTTTTTCATGGGTGTGGGAAGGGAAGCACGTTATAATAAGCAACCCCGACCACACAGGTACTCGGGAGGGACGAAATAATTTCGTGTGCCTTCTTCAAGTCGCATGTGGGACAAACTTCCTTTGTTCCTGACTTGATGTTCTACGTGGTCGTTGTGCATGATCGTGTCGCAACGGCTAGGGTACCCGGCCGCAAATCTGGATTCCCCCACGGGCCCCCTGTGTTTACTCGACTTTGCGTACCCTCCCCGAAAGTATCCGGTATTGGGAAAACGGATGTCGAGGTGTGGAGGGAAATGTTTTTTTGCTCACCCGTTGGAATGTTTGGGGCTGAGGGTGTTCCGCACCATGACATTGGCCCGCATCACAGCAAAGAAAAAAAAAAGTCGATGGCTAAGCAACGCACAAGTTCCACGAAAGATAAGCAGTAGTTATTACCCAACCACAATGTCGCCAAATATTCGCGGACAGGAGCCTGCGGGAACAAGAAGTTGACACGACCACATTCGGGATATGACAAATGATCCACACAGATCTTCCGACGTATTCGTGTAACTTAAACCATGCATCAACGAATCTAATATAATCTGCGCTGCTTCTCGTGGCTTGTCTCCCCCACGACGCAACATGAGGTTTAAATACACCTCTCATGGCGTTGTCTTCGTGGCCGTCGCTGTTCCGAGACACGCACACACACATTAGAAATAGAAAGGCAAAAAAATGTCAAACGCACCACACCTCTAATGGCGTTTTCTTGGTGGCCATCGCCGTTCCGAGACACGCACAAACACACTCGAATTAGAAAGGCAAACAAATCTCAAACGCACGCGAAACAAAACGTAACGAGGGAAAAAAGCGTGGGCCCGCGACATTCCATAAACCTTGAACCGGCGACCACCGTTATCCACAACAATAAAGAACTATGAGGGAAGAACGCGTGGGCCCACGACATTCTATAAACCTTCAACTACCGACCACCATTTTCCATTTAACCCATCTACAACACACGCCGTAACCTCTACTTCCTGGACGCCTTCGGTTTGGTTTGGTACGGAGTCGTCTTGGGGTCGCTCACGGGGGCGTTACGTTGGTGGAACACTCACTGCTCGGAAGCCCCGTCGCATACGGTGGCAACTACGTCGAACCCTTTGTCTCGGTGTGCTATCGACAGGAACCGCATGGTCCTCGTGAGCATCCGTTGGATGTAGTCAGTGCTGAGAGACCGCACAGCCTCCCGCCACACGACGAACTTGTACTCAGGGTTGCCCAGACTAACGAAGAACTCTACGTTGAAGGTACGTTGTTTCGAGCGTCGCAGTGGTGCCGAGGTAAGGGGGTGAGGAGAAGACGTCATGTCAGTGTAGGGGAGGGGGGCGTGTCAACAACAAGGTCTGTTTGATGTTTCGGCGTGGAACACGGTGTGCATGTTGTGCACGTGGAAATTCCGGCGACAAAGACCTGCACCTTAACTCCAAGCCCGATCACCAGAGAGATGTCCACTGCAATCTGGCCGACATTTGTTTTCAAGGGAACTATGAAGCACATACCTCCACGTACTGGGTCGCCAGTATCTTGCCCAATTGCTTGCCCAAACCTCCGTCTTCATCCACCTTGCCTTGATATACGGGGTTGAAGAACGTCGCCTCGTCCACCAACCCCGTGAGTCTTCCTTCCTTCGGGGCGAAGTCGAGCCCGTTCTTGCTGAGATGCGTCAAATCCCAGCTCAGAACACCGGTGAGGTCCGCCTTATCCGCATCTTGCTCGGCGGCCAGCCTGCCATACTTCTGTCATGACAGAACATAACCCATGACAGAACATAACCCATCAAAAAATAAAATAAAGGAAAACGTTCTGGCATTAAATACACAAGACTGGGATTTTTTCGAGGTATGCCATCTGCCGTGCAAGTATACATAGACTCGCTCGGGGGCACCAATAGCTCCGACGGCATCTAAACCTCCAGACTTCACCAGAACATACGTAAGAGGGCCCGCGGCGGTATTGGGACACAATTCAATGCTACAATTATCCGACAAAACCTTACCTGGAAAAACATGGCTTCAAACACACTGTGATGTACGCAATCAGTGGCGGTATGACTGCAAGCTGTGGACGCCCACTGCACTCTAGACATGAAAAAGGCCCAACTACAAATGCCACAAGCACGACTTTGTATATGCAGTCACATCCCACCCTTTCCATGACGTGTAGGCGAAGAGCCTTGAGGCATCCACCAAAGCAAGCACAAAGCACCGTAACCCCCAACCCTAAACATCATTCGTACCCTGATGTTGTCGACGAGCACTCCCGTCCTCGGAGGTGCGGCCTGTGCTTGCAGCTGCTGAACGCGCCTAGGACTGGGCAAATGGATGAAGTTCCTCAGCATGTTGTATCCCGCCGATCCAGCCACCCCGTGCATGTAGATGGCGATTCGCAGTGTCGCCGGGTGAAATCGAAACCCTTTCGAACTCGCCATCCTGGTGTTCCATCGGAGTTGGTCCTGCAGCGAACCCAACGTGCAACACCATCAAGTCGTCGTTTAAGTGACGACCACTTCTCCATTATCATCGCTGTGCAGTAAATTTAGTGGTCAGGCGATGAAATCGCCTACCTCCATGGTCAGTCGCCACCTTCAAAAACGTGTTACACCGTTCACAACAGGAGACCGACACTGCATTCTGCCCGCACTTCCGCCCGTTCAAAATAATCCGAGGAACGCCAACACACCTCGAAGATTGCTCGTTGTGCGCTGTCCTCCGGAAGTTTCTTCTCGAAAATCGTCCTAGATTCCGGGTCCAGCAGCAACTCATGAAGAGCCGCTCCTTGCTGATCGTTGATCCTCTCGCTTTCCTTCCGCGCTGCAAGGACCCGGTCTTGTAGTCGGATCTTCCCCTCCTTCTGGGACTTCACCTCCATCGCCAAGGCGTGCATCTTCTGATCCTATTCAATTGGGCAACAAGTAAGGGGGCGGGGAGTCGACGGAATGTAATCGTGGGCGAGCATTTACATCAGCAGAGGTGGAAAGCGTACAGTAAAACACGTGTACCATACATATAGGCGCTGCAGCAGAATGCTAACGTATCTTCTGTACGGTGCTCAGGCTCTCGTTCTTCGTGTTGGGGTGTGGGTCCGACTTAACAGTCTGGGGCAATCTCTTCTGAACCGATTTGCGAAAAAACTCTTTACACTCGCCACACCGAGCAACACCTCCCGATCCGCCGTGGTTGCTGGCCAGCCCCCCACACGCCTTGGACCATAGCACAGCCTTGTCCGCTACCCGGACCAAAACGCCAGAAACACCCTTAGTTCCCGCCAGGCACCCTGCAACGGCAGCGCGTTCCCACCGGCCCTCACCTCCGAACGACAAATCGGCAGATGCCTCTAGAGTACGCTGCGTTTGGCGGACGAGACTATGGAAGCCGCCTGCGACCTCGGCGGTCACACTACTATCATCTTATGCAGTCTTGCGTACTTTTGATCACTCGCTCTTTTTTCATATTCAAATTTGATCGGAGACATGAGACGTGTTGCCCTGCCGACCACCCGCTACGTGATCGTGAACGTTTCTGTCTGGAAGATTTGACTTTGCTCGACACACACTGGACGGATTCAGACGCGTATTGTTGTCCTAAACAGATCAGGAGGTGAAGATATGCCTAGCCGGAGAATAGATGGGGCATTCACAACAACGTGGAGAGCATCAGTTGCTGGCACGGAGGGTATGTCGAATGGTGGGTGCCTTTCCCTGGTTCCCACAGGTAGTTGCACATCGGGTTATGGGCTCACCGGTGACAAATTTGGATGAAACCTTGGCCTCCACCCTTGCCTGTGACGGTCCCGAGACTCCCAAGGCAGTTCCACGCCTCCACGAGGCAGATGCAGCGAGGTACCGTGTGTCGAAGAGAGTGTGATAGTGTGTCCGCCTTGCTGACGCAAAACGTCCCCTTTTGACGCACAAGCCTTCATATTATTGTACTCCCGGCTTGCAGCTCGCGTGCGGCGAAACCTCAAGTTTCATTCCAAGCTTCGCTATATATTGTCATCTTCCATAGCGCTTCGACCCATGTTTATGGTCGCCAAATCTTTGAAAAAAGTCTTCAAATGTTGTCAAACATTTGCGCGCGAATATCTGCCAGAGGAACATTTGAGTACCGTTTTTATGGGCAACAAAATCTTTATCGTGTGGTTTTCTTTTTTATTTTTCTTAATATGACACAACGAATCCATCTCTATCATAGAAAAGAGTCTGAGACAGATTAGCAATGAATTCATAGCGTCAGAAAGTACCTGTATGTCTACGGTTTCCCAGACAGCATATAGGGACATCTCCCCTGCGGGTAACAGGCTCAACAAGACAGTTTGGTAGCTGTCTTGTGTGTCTCATATATGTTATTATGTTGGGAAGGTGCAGAAGAAATGTGTTAGGTACTGGTCGGGCGTTTTGTGTGTGGCACCCTTTTAGTCGTAGGGCATGCAATCTCCCTCAGTTTTCAAACGTATTTTCAATGTGGTACGCGTATGTACCGAGTTTGTATATTAATATGTGCGGATACATTTCGGATCATGTGCGGACACACGGGAGTGGTCTCACCATTTTTTATTACTTTTTTGTGTAATTTCGTGTTGTTTGGTGTGCAAGTGGCGCGGGAGAACATTCTTTCATCATTGCCTCCTGACGTGGTCGCCGATAGAGAGAGGCGTGTGGTTGAGGTTTCATCACCGACATGTGGGTGTGTGTTAAATGCAGTGGGTATGGTTACCTATCTCGCCCGTGTGTAGGCAGAAGGTATAGCTACCTCTCCCATTAGTAGGCAGCGTGGACCACAAGTAAAGACAGGGTCTATCATTTCATGTATGTTACATCATTTGCATTTGGCATGAGAGGAATAAGAGGTTGTTCAAATTTATAAGCAATTTTGACGGTGCATGGGCACGGGGAGTACTCCCTGTGTCCGTGTTGTACCCAGGTCTTGTCGCATCATCAGTTGTCGCATCAGTTGGCAGCATGTGTCATGGACAGGTAGACGTGGAATGGCGGCGACAGGTGAAGCGCGGCGACAGGTGAAGGCAGCTGCAGTATGTTGTGCATGGTGGCATGTTGGGCTTGTACATAGCGTAGTCCATCCTTCGACCACACACAAAGGAGTTTGTTCGTACCTGTGGGGATTTTTCGGAGTCCTGGGTCAGCCAAAAAGCAGCAGCAAGGAGCAAACGCAGTGCAGTATGCTACTACAGCTTTGCAGTCCGTCCTCCTCAAGTCCTATCGGAGATGATTAGTATCGCACAACGGCTGGATCCGAAATGCCGGCTAGCTCCGCAATCCAAGAGAGGTGGGTTGGCTGAGCTAAAAACGGAATGACTGCATGCGTGCTCCTCTCAGCAGATAGATGTGGCTGGCTGGCTCTTTGAAGTGCAGATTTCTGGTTCAGCGGAATTTGTCGGAATTCCCAATTTTTCCGTTGCCACCTGGGTGTATGGGAGTTTTTCATGAAAGGTGCACAGAAATCGATTATCCTAATTGCAAGGGACACGTTTCATTTTCAGTGTTCCCCCTTGCGGTTTCGACGGTCAAATATGCGGTTGCCCACAGATTTTCGCATCGCTATAAGCTATCAAGCTCCTAATGAAGTATGTGTGTGCAGGTTTGGTAGCGCAAGAAGCAAATTAAACGGGAAGTTTTACGGCATTAATTTCATACCAGCGTGCTTATTGATCATATAGACATTACACAAAAAAACAACATTTCAGGGATTGCTGAACAAAAGAATGAAACACTTCCGAATAAAGCGAAACATAATCAAAACAAAAACAACACATGATAGCACGTGAGCAAATCTAACAAGAAGTCCTTCGTATCTTTTCATCCACCAAAAACTTATGTTGTCGGTCAATGGTCGTCTGTTGCACCAACTCCAACTCTCCGTGTACTATCCTGTACCCCGGTCCTTCAAGTTCTGCTTTGGCTAACCTAATATAGCATGCCTTACATGTGATACAAATGCAGTTGGCCGCTTTGTCGACTCTCGTAAACACCACCTTCTTGTGCAATTGGTGAAAGGATGTCCTAGCTACAGCAATATCTAATGTGGTTCGTAAGAGGCTTAGGAGAACTTCCCCCTTGTCCGCGTCAGTCACTGCTGTTTGTTCTATCGCGTCGTACAAAGCATCTTCCCAGTCCTCAGTATCACCGCGTGGTACTTTGAGTTCATGACAGAAGTCGCCAACGTACGATTCTATGGCATCTATGAGCGATTAAAAGAAAGACTAGTCATTCAAGGCCTCCGCATTTTCTGCTCTAAAACCAGTTTGCAGGTTTAGCACAGCTGCAGCGTTGGCATCGTATGCACCAGCAGGAATATTCTTCCCTCTGTCTTTTGCAGTGGCTAACCAGATGTCTCGTCTTCTCCACGGCGAGTAGCATATTGTGGGTGGTTGCTTTCCGACGCCTGTTTCGATCGCTCGTAAACCAAGCGCATTTACCCGACCTTGGTGTTCGGGTCCCATGTGTGATTTGGTCGAGGTCTTTTTCTACCTCTACCTCGATGTTTTCCCCATGGCATTGGTTTCAGTATCATCGTCGATAATAAAATCTTGGTACAAGTTGACTTCACCGAGTGAAGTACCAGTAGCCTTCCTCGCACACAGAGTCCAGGCGGTGGTCCAGTAGATGTGTATTTGTCCGTGATGTGTTTAGCAAAGGTAGTACGAGCAAAGGGAGGAGGGGGAGGGGTTGGGGGGGGGGGTTGGGGAATGGTAAAGAAGTTCATATGGTGTAAAGTGTTCCAATTGTGTGTGTCCTGCTGAGTTCGGCATTCTTTGGGCAGAATAGTGATGTAGTACTAATAATATGTAGTTATAACATGAGGATATTCCTAGTCGGACACACGAAATGCATCGCACGTGCGGCGGGAATCGTGGTCTACTGCTACCAAACGATTTGTGACAGACAAACCACAAATGCGTCATGGAAACTAAATGTAACGAGCTCGCAAAGGGCTCCCCACAACCCTTGATGCACTGAGCTGATGCTGTCCCCGCCAATATGTGACGATAGCGCTCCCGGCGTGCGAGAAAAAACTGTTCTCGGCGTCAAAAAGAGACCAAAACGTGCGTCAGCGCTTCCCAACAGCAAAAAGTCGGCCGCTTGAGAGGACACGTGAGTACAAAACTATCCAGCTCTCGTCCTCTAGACCATCGATTCATGTTTTGTCTTCTTGGATGTCTTCTCCATCAACGACTCTCATCCGGTTGTGCGTGGGTTGGCAGTGGCCGCGCTCAGCCGGCAGGGAGGCACATCGTTGTGCGCGCAGAGTTGTGGACACAACGTTTTTTCGGTCTATTTTTTCACTTGAATATAGAGGTCATGTTCCTCCGTCCCAAAAAAGACTTTTTCAACACATCGAGTTCACAGCGACGCGCCTCCCTGCCTGTTGAGTACGTCCACTGCTGAACCACGCACATCCGGATGAGAGCCGTTAATGGAGAAGACACCCAAGAAAACAAAACATGAATCGATGGTCTAGAGGAAGAGAGCTGGATAGTTTTGTACTCACCTCTCCTCTCAAGCAGCCGACTTTTTGCCGTTCGGAGACACAAACCGCGCGTTCTCCATGCCCTCCAAACCACCCCTGTCTGTTTGTTTTTTTGTGTACGCTTGACGAGCTCCCGCCATGTATCAGCCGGCAAAACATTGACACGGTGACTCTAGGGTTGTCCGGATCCCTCTATGAGCTTGCTTCGTTGAGTGTGCGCTACGCAGTGGTTGGTGTTTAGGACGGAAGGGGCGGTCGTCTACTAATCCCGCCGCTCTTGGGAAACATTTTCGCGACCTGCCCCATTTCAAAATGTTCGAGAATATTTTGTCAAACGAGCGGCTTTTGCCATTTCAAAATGTTTGAGAATATTTTGCCGAAGAT